CTCAATAGATTCTTCACCAACCCTAAATAAACCCTAAAGCGACCTTAAATAAACTGCAAATACACCTTCGACCAACCACAGAAAACTGTAAACCAACCCTAAATACCTGTAAGTAATGAAGGGTTAGTTTTTGTTTTTCTTCCGTTTTGTTTTTTTTTCTGGATTTCTGGTTCCCAGCTTATCTGCTTTTCCCTGCTTCTTTGCTTCCCCCCTTTTCCCTGCTGGCCTGCTTCTCTGCTTTTCTGCGTTTTCCCGCTTTTCTGCTTCTTTGCTTCTTTGATTTTCTGCTTCTCTGCTTTTCTGTTTCTTTGCTTCTCTGCTTATCCTCTTTTCTGCTTTTCCCTGCCTTTCTGCTTTTCCAGCTTCTTTGCTTCTCTGCTTTCTGCTTTTCGCTACTTTTCTGTTTCTCTGCTTTTCCCTGCTTTTCTTTTGTTTCTCATACTGTAAAAAAAACCTAAGAAACATCATATAATATACAGAGACATAACCCCTAAATCAGCCCTAAATTAACCCTAAACAAAACCCAAACAGAGAAAAAACACTAAAGCAACTCTACGTAAACCTTAAGCATTACCTAAATAAATCTGAAACCAATCCTAAATAAACCCTAAACCAACCCTAAATAGATCCTAAGCCAACCCCAAATATATGTTAAACCAAACCTAGATAACCCCCTCACCAACCCGGAATAGATTTTAAACCAGGCCTAAATAAATCCTAAACCAACGCCAAAAAAAATTAAACCAACCCTGAGTAGGTCCTACACCAGCCCTAGACAGATCCTAAACCAAACCGAAATAAAACTTTAAACCAACCCTAAATATACAGATGTTAAAAACAAACAAGCCTAAATAATTTTTACACGAACCCTAAATACATCTTAAACCAGGCCTAAATAGCTCCTACCCAAACAAACCTTAAGCCAACCCTAAATAGGTCCTAAACCAACTCGAGATAGATCCTGAACCAAGCCTAAACCCCAAAATCCTAAATAGATCTTAAGCCAACCCTACATAGATCTTAACACAAGCCTGCAAAAAACCCTAAACCAAAGTACAAATATACCCTAAACCAATTTAACTTGCATCCTAAAGCAACCCTAAATAGATCTTAAGCAAGCCTAAATACACCCTAAAACCAACCCTAAACGAACCCTAAACAACCCTAAATAGATTTTAAACCACGCCTAAATAAATCCCAAAACCAACCCTAAATAGATCCTGAACAAACCCTAGCACTAAAACCACCGCTTAAAGACCTTAAAACCAACCCTAACAGAAACCCTAAACTAACCCTAAAACCAACCCGAAGTGAACCCTAGTTGCAAACGACCATGTTCCATGAACAGTTCGAGCACCAAAATGTTACAAATTCCATGGAAAATGAGAGGTTTGAACTCAAAAATGCTGCAATTACGGTTGAAATTGCACCTTCCAGCTCCAGAATGCTGCAAATAACAAGGAAAATGGACAGAACAGGAACAAACACTTTCACTTTCACTTTCACAGCGTCTCACTGGCCTTGTGGCTAATGCACATTCTTTAATAAAGGAACAAAGCAGAAAAACACATTTCCAAACAATTCCGGACCTATAACTAATTTTGCATAGACTGAATTAACTAAACCCGAAACAAACTAAAACTGATCCGAAATAAATTCCAAACTAACCCTATATAAACCATAAACAATTAAAGCAACCTTGAGAATTAAAATAAATTCGAACCTACCTCAAATAAACCAAAAACCAATCCGAAATAAACTTTAAATCAACCTTAAACAGATTCTAAACAAACCATGACTAAACCCTCAAAACCGTTGAAAACCAGCCTTAAATAAACTTTAAACCAATCTTAAACCAACTCTAATGTCCCTAAAACAAATCTCACTAAACCAGCCCCATCTAAATAAAGCAGAAACCAGCCGTCAATGAACCCTAAACCAATCCTAAATAACCCCCAAACCAATCCTGAAAAAACTCTTAACCAACCGTAGTGAAAACCTTGAAGCAACCCTAAACTGTTTATAAAACCCCTACAAGAACTTTAGGCATTATTCCATATATCCATTCTAAAAATAATTACAAAAGCCAGCCGACAGGCAAGGCTGAGTTGTTGTTTGCGAACGTAGTGAGTATTAGGGGATCTGTGGGGGATTAGGTGGGAAATCTTCCGACCGTAGAAGGACTTTTTCCAGGCCATGTACCAGGTGGCAATTTAGTGACGGTAGGGCTTCGATTCCCCGCTGGTCCACCCCCCGACTGGTATTGGAATGAGATGAGCCATGCTGAACGTCAGCGGCGGAGATGGTCCGCTGGGCTTCGCATTGAAGATGCTTGAGCATTTTTGTCGGATGTGGGTGACGCTTCTGATGGATGAAGCGCTGCGGGTGATATGGCCTGAGGGGAAGAGCCATGCTGAACCTCAACGGCCGATCTGGTCATGGGGCTTCGCGTTGAAGATGCTTGAGCATTTTGTCGGATGTGGGTGAAGCTTCTGATGGATGAAGCGTTGCGGGTGACATGGCCTGAGGGGAAGAGCCATGCTGAACCTCAACGGCTGATCTGGTCAGGTGTGCTTCGCGTTGAATTCTGTCGGATGTGGGTAAAGCTTCTGATGGATGAAGCGTTGCGGGTTGCTGAACCTCAACGGCTGATCTGGTCAGGTGGGCTTCGCGTTGAAGATGCTTGAACATTCTGTCGGATGTGGGTGAAGCTTCTGATGGATGAAGCGTTGCGGGTGATATGGCCTGAGGGGAGGAGCCATGCTGAACCTCAACGGCTGATCTGGTCAGGTGGGCTTCGCGTTGAAGATGCTTGAACATTCTGTCGGATGTGGGTGAAGCTTCTGATCGATGAAGCGTTGCGGGTGATATGGCCTGAGGGGAAGAGCCATGCTGAACCTCATGCTGAACCTCAACGGCTGATCTGGTCAGGTGGGCTTCGCGTTGAATTCTGTCGGATGTGGGTGAAGCTTCTGATGGATGAAGCGTTGCGGGTTGCTGAACCTCAACGGCTGATCTGGTCAGGTGGGCTTCGCGTTGAAGATGCTTGAACATTCTGTCGGATGTGGGTGAAGCTTCTGATGGATGAAGCGTTGCGGGTGATATGGCCTGAGGGGAGGAGCCATGCTGAACCTCAACGGCTGATCTTGTCAGGCGGGCTTCGCGTTGAAGACGCTCGAACATTCTGTCGGATGTGGGTGAAGGTTCTGATGGATGAAGCGTTGCGGGTGATATGGCCTGAGGGGAAGAGCCATGCTGAACCTCAACGGCTGATCTGGTCAGGTGGGCTTCGCGCTGAATGATGGATGAAGCGTTGCGGGTGATATGGCCTGAGGGGAAGAGCCATGCTGAACCTCAACGGCTGATCTGGTCAGGCGGGCTTCGCGCTGAAGATGCTTGAGCATTCTGTCGGATGTGGGTGAAGCTTCTGATGGATGAAGCGTTGCGGGTGATATGGCCTGAGGGGAAGAGCCATGCTGAACCTCAACCGCTGATCTGGTCAGGTGGGCTTCGCGTTGAAGATGCTTGAACATTCTGTCGGATGTGGGTGAAGCTTCTGATGGATGAAGCGTTGCGGGTGATATGGCCTGAGGCCTGAGGGGAAGAGCCATGCTGAACCTCAACGGCTGATCTGGTCAGGTGGGCTTCGCGTTGAATGATGGATGAGGCGTTGCGGGTGATATGGCCTGAGGGGAAGAGCCATGCTGAACTTCAGCGGCTGATCTGGTCAGGTGGGCTTCGCGCTGAAGATGCTTGAGCATTCTGTCGGATGTGGGTGAAGCTTCTGATGGATGAAGCGTTGCGGGTGATATGGCCTGAGGGGAAGAGCCATGCTGAACCTCAACGGCTGATCTGGTCAGGTGGGCTTCGCGTTGAAGATGCTTGAGCATTCTGTCGGATGTGGGTGAAGCTTCTGATGGATGAAGCGTTGCGGGTGATATGGCCTGAGGGGAAGAGCCATGCTGAACCTCAACGGCTGATCTGGTCATCGCTGAAGATTTTTGTCGGATGTGGGTGAAGCTTCTGATGGATGAAGCGTTGCGGGTGATATGGCCTCCTGGTTGGATTCGTGTGAAACTTCTGATGAATGAAGCGCTGCAGGTGATATGGCCTAAGGGGAAGAGCCATGCTGAACCTCAACGGCTGCTCTGGTCCGGTGGGTTCGCATTGAAGATGCTTGAACACTTTTGTCGGATTTTAAGTGAAATTTCCGATGGATGAAGCGTTGCGGGCGATATGGCCTGAGAGGAACATCCATGCTGAACCTCAACGGCTGATCTAGTCCGGTGGGCTTCGCGTTGAAGATGCTTTTTCATTTTTGTTTTTTTGTTTGGCACTGAAGATGGCTGAACCACATGCGATCCAGTCAGGTTTAGGGTGTAGGGATGCAGATGCGAGGGGGTGAGATACCAACGCGAGTTGCCCTGTGAGCGCCGCGCTAACGTACACCTTGTGCACTCGTTACCCGCGTTGCGTCCCCGGCGTGAGTGCTTTTCAGAATATATGTCAGCCTTGTGCCTTGCGCTAACTTCGCGGTGCTGCGTGTGAGTAACCCGCGAGGTGTCCCCGACGTGTGCGCTGTCGGAATATATGTCAGGTTTGTGTCTGAGACACTTCTGAGTTACCTGACTTTATTTGATGTTTGATGTTTTTGAAACAAACCAAACAACAAACAAAACACTTCACTTGAGACTTGGTTTGAATTTTATTTTCGGACTTTTCCATCTCAAGGGTGGGTGAGGTGGGATGCCTGCTGAATTTGCAGGGTATTTTGATTTCAGATGGCTCATGGTCGGTGCGGTGCATCGTGGTAAACCTGGTTGGAGTTCACCGGTACAACTGGCCCCTGTCATCAAGCCATCATTTCCGATTTGCACCATTTGCATCGCCACTTTTTTTTGGACTGATTTTCATTTGGCTGGTGACATTGGATTGGCGTACATGGTTTTACCTTTTGACAAACACAGGGCACACGACCAAACTGTCTTTTTCTGCATCTATCATACCATCTGGCATTCAGGGCATACATTCCACATTTCGGCATTTTTGACATCAGTTGATCAGCTCAACGTGGCTTGGACAAACTGCAGTTTGTATCGTGCGTGTATCTGTATATGCCATTAAGATGCCATGGGAAACTGGATTGGGACAGGCATTGTTTGGCAGGCCTAGCACTGGCCCTAGGTTTCTTGTGCCAATGCTTGGCGGGTACAAAGAGTTTTTTTCACCCGGCACCGCTGACAGTAGTGTGACAATGGAGCAGTGGACTCGGCAGCTCCCATTTCAGAGCAAACGATTGCATTATCCTTTTTAGTCTTGCTGACAGTCAACTGGGCCGGTCACTTTTGAGCAAGGGTGGCACTCTGGTCGAAGCAGCTGAGACAGTCAGGTCGTTTGAGGATTGCTTTGCAGGCAAATCGACTGGAACCTTGGTGAAGAGCTCACATGATTTTTATCGTTTTGCATTGTGTTAGCTTGAGAACAACCGCTCCAACCCTTTGCAACCGACTGCTAGTGATTTGTATGGCTATCTCAACTTTCTGGCAGACTCAGGAAGAGCACCAACGTCGGGTGAATCTTTTCTCAAGTCATGGGCCTTCATGCAGCATGTGGTTGGTGCTGGACAGCCTGGTGCTGGCACTTTGCTATCAGGGCGGGTGGCTGGCGCGGCAAAGGCAATGTTTCTCTGCAAGAGGCCACTGAAGCAAGCGCCGCTGCTCACAACTGACATCATTTGGGCATTAGAGAATCTTCTTTTTGCTGGAGGTGTGGACAACAAACTCAAGGCAATCATTGGTTTCATGCTGTTTTGCCTTTACTCATCTTCGAGGTTTGGTGATGCATGACGTCGAGGAGGCACCCAAATGCAGTTGTCACTCTCTGAAATGCACTGCCATATCATGGGTCACTAAAGCTGGAGTCATGTCCGTCCACGAGAAGAAGACCACGGGCCTTGGGAATGTCTCAGAATAGGGGCGCCCCAAATTTGGGTGCCCCAAGCCTTCTTCTTCAAAGGATGAACATAGAGCTCGGGGGTCCAAATTTGAGACGTTCCCAGTTTGAACAGCCAACCCTAAAACATTCATGTGACGGGAAAGAGTATATCCTGACTTTGATTGATGCCAGACAACCTAAGCCTTGAGGTGTGGGTATGTCTTTATTTGCGATTGGTTGACCAATTCAAGTGTGTGCATGTTGTGCTTGAGGCTCCAAGCCACCCACTGGCTGGGAACAACAACAATCACTTCAAGATGTTGCACACGTGCATCAAGACGAAACTGAATCGGATGTGGCCAACGGTTTCTTTTTTGGAAATCCTTTACGTGCATTACTTGACACGAACACAGGTTTCATTTCGAAAGGTTTCCAATGTGGTGACGATTTGGCTTTTCCACCAATCCCTCGTCTGCATTTCAGCGATGTCAGGGCTAGAGCCAAAGGCAAGTTTCAATGAGCGAGCCCTGGAGATCGGTGCCACCGAAGCCCTTGTCACGTCCTTAACAGGCGCAGGTATTGACTGCTTTGGCAAGCTTGCATTTGCAGTTCAGCAAACCCGCATTCGGGTGATGGTTCACCTTTGCGAGAAGCTGTGACAGCGCTTCTTGGTGCCGAGCCCTCAGTAGCTGAAATGATGGTGCTTCGAAGGCTATGGTTCGAGGCTAGTGGTTTCGCACTTGCAGATTTGAAGTCCAAAACTGACAAGACTCCAGGTGAGGGAGTGAAGTCCATGCCACTAGCGGAAGGGGAATGGGAACATAGAAATTCGATGGGTGACTCTGACCTCACAAAACACTGGCACCGACGAAAACAAACAAGAAACAAAGTTCAATGTCTTTTTCAAACCTGCTATTACCCTTACTTCATCTATTGATAGTATCTGTTTGAGGAATGGCACTCGTAACAACAGTTTGGCTGCACGCTACATCATGCTCATTTGGATTTGAAGAACCACTTCAAAAACGAATGTTTCCATTCAATTCTTTTAATGAATCTGCCAACATACAGTAGCTCTGCAGGATAAGATACAGAATGACGCACAGAAAATGAACCTAACTTCAATTTCCACCCTTACTTCATCTATTGATAAATTCAATCTGATGAATAGTAGCAGCAACTGCTTCTTGAGTGCAGGCTAGATCATATATGTTTGGATCTTGACGACAATTTATACAAGAATTAAAAATTCCCATGGCAGCAAACACACCATTATCTTTAGATAGCTCAGTCATCGCATAGGTGACCTGACCTGACTAGTCAGCGGCATGACGGCTCTCGCTCTCTCTCTCTCTCTCTCTCTCACTCTCTCACTCTCTCACTCTCTCACTCTCTCACTCTCTCACTCTCTCACTCTCTCACTCTCTCACTCTCTCACTCTCTCGCTCTCTCGCTCTCACGCTCTCACGCTCTCACGCCGCTCTCACGCCGCTCTCACGCCGCTCTCACGCCGCTCTCACGCCGCTCTCACGCCGCTCTCACGCCGCCTCTCACGCCGTCCACGCCGCTCTCAGCCGCTTCTCACGCCGCTACCAAGCCGCTCCACGAACGCTCTCACGCCCGCGTCTACGACCGAGAGAAAGCAGAGGAGCAAGCAGCGATAGCAGCAGCGAGAGAAAGAACGGCAGCGCACGAAGAGTGAACGCGACTCGCACGCGCGAGCGCGCCGCTCTCGCGCCGCTCTCACGCCGCTCTCACGCCGCTCTCACGCCGCTCTCGCGCCGCTCTCGCGCCGCTCTCACGCCGCTCTCACGCCGCTCTCACGCCTCTCACGCCGCTCTCGCTCTCTCACTCTCTCTCACTCTCTCACTCTCACGCTTTCACGCTCTCACGCTCTCACGCTCTCACGCTCTCACGCTCTCACGCTCTCACACTCTCACACTCTTACACTCTCACATTCTCACATTCTCACATTCTCACATTCTCACATTCTCACATTCTCACATTCTCACATTCTCACATTCTCACATTCTCACATTCTCACATTCTCACACTCTCACTCACTCTCACTCTCTCTCTCTGCCTCTTTTTCTTCAAATTATTGAAATGAGCCTGCTGACAAGGCTCTGTAAGACAAAGATGACAAACAGCAGGGCAAGTATCCTATGTCTTCAGTTGCACCATTCCCACCATCCTTTCCATTTAGATTGTGAAATGTACTTTCATACATCCCTATGAATCCTGCAGCAGTATCTTCAATGAATTGGTGCAATTGCAAATAGCTCTATGTCTATACACGATATGTGTTGAACTGGTACCCATGAAAAAATGTGAAGAAACCACCATATCACCATACCATATCAGTTGGTTCTAGCAACAGAAGTTCTCCATCACCTCTATCGTTTGAGGAAGCAGTCTTCTTGAAAATATGCGTGATCTCAAGAAGAATGCAGGGTTGCTTTCAACAGATGCAATATTCCTCGGAAACATAACGTTTCCTAATATGTAGCACAAGTAGCACTTCTTCGAAAAAGTGCAGTTTTCTCTCCGAAGAATCACAATTCCGGGGCGCAGTATTTCTTGACAGAGAGAGTAGCCTCCTTTGTTTTGACTTGTCATGCCCCGTCACATGGACGCGGGGCGTCAAAGTGAAGTGCTAGCGTGTATCCGGTTGGCTTTAGTAAAGTGATCTTGGGTGACCTGGTATGTTTGAAATTAGATTTCAATCCTGACCAAAGCTGGCGATTTGCCTTGTACTCATGACAGCGGATATGCTATAGAGAATGTCTAGACATCTACATCTACATAGATACTCCAGTTCTGTGCGGGATACCTAACTGCTCAGCTCCCTTTTCTACTCCGAGTGGAGGAGCTGGTGAGAAGAGTAAAGCAAGGACAGCGTAGTTCTGACGTCTCTTGTCGCGTCGATGGTCACTGCTGGTGCGACTTGTTGATGGGTTTGTCCTTGGAAAATGGGGTTTAAACATCTTTCAACCACCAATTCATGGGAGGTTTTTGCGTCCAAAAATAGGGATAGAAAACTGTCGGATTTGGACATGGCTTTGACCAAAAATGGTGTGTAGCTGTCAAATTTGATGGGGGCACTCAATGGAACAAGCATGTGTCTTGGGATATTTGAGTATCGTCCCACAAGATCCCTTTCAAGACTATGTTTTTGTTGCGGTTGGTTTTAAGCCATGATTCATGTGGACTTTAAACATCCCTCACTTATGGATAGTGGTTGGTGGCGTGGTGCCCCTTTCTTGGCCGTTTGGTGATATTTATGTTGATTTTGTTTGGTGGCAAATTTGGATGACGAGAATTGGGACTTTCTCTTTGCTCAATGTCCATATTATCGTGTATGTATACAATGGCGGACGTAACTGTATATCATAACATCATGACATAATAATACCGTAATACCATAATATATATATATATATTATTTATTTATTTATTTATTTATATACACATATATATATAAATATAAATATATATCTACATCTATTTTGAAGGCATGGGCACGTATACAATATATACATATTTTCACGTGGAAAAATTGATGGTGCCAAGGCCTTCAAGTCCCAGTGGTGGAGATATTGCGACACCTTTGGTGGAAATGTGCGGGATCCAGGCGCACATTGGCGGAGCGCTGGGGCTCCGGGGTTGGTCCGCCTGGGTTGGTAAATACAAAGGTGGCGTTGTGGCGTTGTGGTGAGGCAAAGATGTTTCCGTTTCTTTTGCCAGATTTTCTGATTACGAAAGCAAGCCGACAGGCAAGGCTAGTTGTTTGCGAACGTAGTGAGTATTAGGTGGTCTGGGGGGGTAGCTGTGGCAATTGCTGGAGGTCGATTTTCAATTTGATTAAGTGGGAAATCTGCCATGTACCAGGTGAAAATTAAGTGACGGTAGGGCTTCGGTTCCCCCCTGGTCCACCCCCCGATTGGCAAACCGTGGGGCTGGGCAAGAAGGGTTTTGGCATGAGATGAACCATGCTTGAACGTAAGCGGCGGAGATGGTCCGGTGGGCTTCGCACTGAAGATGCTTGAGCATTCTGTCGGATTTGGGTGAAGCTTCTGCTGGATGAAGTGCTGCGAGTGATATGTCTTGAGTCAAGGAGCCATGCTGAACCTCAGCGGCTGATCTGGTCCGGTGGGCTTCGCATTGAAGGCCTGAGGGAAAGAGCCATGCTGAACCTCAACGGCTGATCTCGTCCGGTGGGCTTCGCATTGAAGATGCTTGAACATTTTTGTTGGATTTGGGTGAAGCTTCTGATGGATGAAGCGCTACGGGTGATATGGCCTGAGGGGAGGAGCCATGCTGAACCTCAACGGCTGATCTGGTCAGGTGGGCTTCGCGTTGAAGATGCTTGACATTTTTGTCGGATTTGGGTGCAGCTTCTGATGTATGAAGCGTTCTGGGTGATATGGCCTGAGGGGAAGAGCCATGCTGAACCTCAACGGCTGATCAGGTCTGGGACTTCGCACTGACGGCCTAAGGGGACGAACCATGCTGAACCTCAACGGCTGATCTGGTCCGGTGGGTTCGCATTGAAGATGCTTGAACGCTTTTGTCGGATTTTTGTGAAGCTTCTGATGGATGAAGCGCTGCGGGTGATATGGCCTGAGAGGAACAGCCATGCTGAACTTCAACAGCTGATCTGGTCCAGTGGGCTTCGCATTGAAGGCCTGAGGGGAAGAGCCGTGCTGAACCTCAACGGCTGATCTGGTCCGGTGGGCTTCGCATTGAAGATGCTTGAACGTTTTTGTCGGATTAGGGTGGTGCTTCCATGGATGAAGCGCTGCGGGTAATATGGCCTGATGGGAAGAGCGATGCTGGATCTCAACGGCTGATCTGGTCCGGTGGGCTTCGCATTGAAGATGCTTGAACGTTTTTGTCGGATTTGGGTGAAGCTTCTGATGGATGAAGCGCTGCGGGCGATATGGCTTGAGGGGAAGAGCCATGCTGAACCTCAACGGGTGATCTAGTCCGGTGGGCTTCGCATTGCAGATGCTTTATCATTTTTTTTTGGTTTGGCACTGAAGATGGCGAAACCACATGCGATCCAGTCAGGTTTAGGATGTAGCGATGCAGGTGCGAGGGGGTGAGAGACCAACTCGAGTTGCTTTCCGCATGCGAGGTACATTGTCCTACACATGTTTTTTTTTGCGACAGGTTGGTGGTAGTATTTACCTGTTATCAGTATCGGGAACATCAATGACCAAAGATTCCATGGGTTTTCACTGCTGAAGTGAAGTCAGCCAAGTCAGCCATTGCAGGTCGCCATCAAGCAAGATTCATTGAGAACTTCCTGGCCCACTCCATGAATGGTACAATCACCAGCCTTTATGCTTCAAGTCCTGAAACCCAGTTATTTGTCTGGTCGCTGGGGGATTTTTCACTTCACGTTCATCAGGCTTGGAAACGTGGCTTCATTGGCATGCCCGTGTGAGCAGTGGCCGCACGACGCCTCTGTTGGTTGATGATTCAACCAGGGTCGCACACACATATATTTATATTACATCCGGTATACATATATATATATATACATACACAATTACATTCATACATACATACATGCATACATACATACATACATACATACAAACGAACAAACAAACAAACATACATACGTACTTATTTGCTTCTTTCCTTCCTTCCGTACTTCCTTCCTTCCTTCCTTCCTTCCTTCCTTACATACTTACTTACTTAACTTTACTTAACTTAACTTAACTTAACTTTACTTAACCATACTTAACCT